CCCGCGCATCCTCCACGCTCCCTACCAACGGCCAGAGCACACATACCTAAACATCAGACTAGTGGGGACTAGCCGGACAGAAAGACTGAGGGGGAGGTGGGGATACGACTCCTAGGCCTCCCACCACCTTACCAAGAGAACACCATGGGAAGGACTCCCCACACGAACCTACTAGGGACGGAGGCAGCAACCTACAGTTACGCACAAATCAACGTCCCATAAAACACAGCCCCGGGCCGATAGGTCATAATACACACGTATCTACCCGAACCCTACAACTGGGAGGCTCGTAAACACGGTGCTAGCTCTACTATCACAAGACATACGACTACCAACCTGATAAGTGCACTACACGCGACTCACAGAGGGAAATATAACTACACAAGAGGAAGGGGAGTGGAGAGGGGCGGGGGAGGGTGACACGGGGAAGAGGGAAAAGGAAAGCTGGACACAAGGCCACAACGAGAGGCGGTAACATGCTGCATTGCAGGCTGATGATAGGTACACCTGCTGTATATAGACATACCTGCCTGGCACTAAACAGTAACTCAAGTCTTGAACATACGCCCACTTACCAGGATCACGGATTGCTTCATGCACCTGACTACAGCCCGAGCTAGTTTAACTTAAATTCCCAGAAAGTTCACAATATGAGCTGGTTGGACGCGCAGTTCTACACATATTGGCTTCTCGACGCAAGATACGCCACATAAAGGTTACTAAATGCACATTTTAGATGCGATTAATATCCAGTTGTGTTCAAGTATACTGTTTACCTTGATGAAAGCCGATACATATTGTCTATTCATGTTTAAACACATTAATGCATGATTGTAACTTGGAAGAATGAAACAAAATTGAAATAAAGAATGTCAAAAAAAAAAAAATCAAGATATTGTAACTTTCTAAATAATAACTGTGTATCACTATTATATTCCTAATACAGACACATATAATATAGTTTTTTTTCAGTCTCAAGAACTGTTATTACTTACAGTTGCAAGAAAAAGTATGTGAACCCTTTGGAATGATATGGATTTCTGCACAAATTGGTCATAAAATGTGATCTGATCATCATCTAAGTCACAACAATAGACAATCACAATCTGCTTAAACTAATAATACACAAAGAATGAAATGTTGCCATGTTTTTATTGAACACACCATGTAAACATTCACAGTGCAGGTGGAAAAAGTATGTGAACCCTTAGGTTAATGACATCTCCAAGAGCTAATTGGAGTGAGATGTCAGCCAATTGGAGTCCAATCAATGAGATGAGATTGGAGGTGTTGGTTACAGCTGCCCTATAAAAAAAACACACCAGTTCTGGGTTTGCTTTTCACAAGAAGCATTGCCTGATGTGAATGATGCCTCGCACAAAAGAGCTCTCAGAAGACCTACGATTAAGAATTGTTGACTTGTATAAAGCTGGAAAGGGTTATAAAAGTATCTCCAAAAGCCTTGCTGTTCATCAGTCCACGGTAAGACAAATTGTCTATAAATTGAGAAAGTTCAGCATTGCTGCTACTCTCCCTAGGAGTGGCCGTCCTGTAAAGATGACTGCAAGAGCACAGCGCAGACTGCTCAATGAGGTGAAGAAGAATCCTAAAGTGTCAGCTAAAGACTTACAAATGCTAAAATCCCTGTTAGCGAATCTACAATTCGTAAAACACTAAACAAGAATGGATTTTATGGGAGGATACCACAGAGGAAGCCACTGCTGTCCAAACAAAACATTGCTGCACGTTTACAGTTTGCACAAGAGCACCTGGATGTTCCACAGTAGTACTGGCAAAATATTCTGTGGACAGATGAAACCAAAGTTGAGTTGTTTGGGAGAAACACACAACACTATGTGTGGTGAAAAAAAGACACAGCACACCAACATCAAAACCTCATCCCAACTGTGAAGTATGGTGGTGGTGGGGGCATCATGGTTTGGGGCTGCTTTGCTGTGTCAGGGCCTGGACGGATTGCTATCATCGAAGGAAAAATAAATTCCCAAGTTTATCAAGACATTTTGCAGGAGAACTTAAGGCCATCTGTCTACCAGCTGAAGCTCAACAGAAGATGGGTGTTGCAACAGGACAATGACCCAAAGCATAGCAGTAAATCAACAACAGAATGGCGTAAACAGAAGAAAATACGCCTTCTGAAGTGGCCCAGTCAGAGTCCTAACCTCAACATGATAGAGATGCTGTGGTATGACCTCAAGAAAGCAATTCACACCAGACATCCCAAGAATATTGCTGAACTGAAACAGTTCTGTAAAGAGGAATGGTCAAGAATTACTCCTGACCATTGTGCACGTCTGATCTGCAACTACAGGAAATATTTGGTTGAAGTTATTGCTGCCAAAGGAGGTTCAACCAGTTATTAAATCCAAGGGTTCACATACTTTTTCCACCTGCACTGTGAATGTTTACACATGGTGTGTTCAATAAAAACATGGCAACATTTCATTCTTTGTGTGTTATTAGTTTAAGCAGACTGTGATTGTCTATTGTTGTGACTTAGATGATGATTAGATCACATTTTATGACCAATTTGTGCAGAAATCCATATCATTCCAAAGGGTTCACATACTTTTTCTTTCTTGCAACTGTAAGTACTAATACATGTATTACTTTTATATCCCGTCCACTTATATTTCCATGAATCATATGGTTTCTAGTGAACTTAAACTCTTTGTCATTTGGAACTACATTCCTATACCATTAATACCACCTAGTGATGATTGTAGCAGTACTTTACAATCATAGTATTTAATTTGTATATTCAGTAGGCTCTCACTACCTGAAATATATTAAAACTACTTATAAGAAGTATAATAGTTTGCAAACCTTCAAAGGTTGTGTTGTTATCAACTATGAAGTTCTCTAATAATTCTTCAAATAATGTTCCTGTTGTTGACGACACTAATTGTTCTAGAAATTCTCCACCTAGGAATCGTCCTATCACATCTATTTGTTTTTGGATCATTATCGTTCCCACTACCATTCCACAATATAGTAACAAACTTTTCATTCAATAAGAGAATGGATTACTTTGAAAAAACTTGGAAAGAATAATTTAAATTCATATCATCACTCTCTTCATTAGACCTTGATTGTGATGACTTAGTAATGTAATACATCTTAACATAAAAGTAGGATTGTCCAAATGTTACCCAAACATTTTGTCTGACCAATCGGTATTCCTTATTCCCTAGTACACTTCTTCAACTAACTAAACTTAAATAAAATAAAATAAACATTGGGTTTTACTGCCCAGAAACTCTTATCCCTAGTCCATGTCTTACAAACATTAATCATAAAACAATTTATTCATTGGATATTGTCATATCCAGAAACCTATTATCCCGAGTCCATACCTTTATAGACTTAGGTCAAATATAATTGTGCACTATAATCTTAACTAAATGTATTCCTCTTGGATTTCTAAACTCTTATATCCAAGGCATTCTTAATGTACTTAATATTAATCATTATAAATTATCCTTCCTTAGTTTTCTTCCTTTTGTTACCATTGTTTGTTTTACTTCACCTCGATATTAACAAATTACTCATTCTTGTGAATCTATGAAATACTATTAACCTCACTCTTCGTACTATTAAGTAACCATGATCCTTATTTTATCGACTTGTTTTATCTACCTCTGATACTTCTCATCCCATGTATAGGTCATAATGTAATAGTTCTCTTCATAATACTATCTTTTGTAATTTTACTCCATACGTTACACATTTAGAAGTACTCTCTTTTGGTATTACTAAACTCACAACTGTTAAATAACTTTTCATTGTCTGTTTTCTTTTCTGTTAATATTTAGGAATTGATATGCATGTTAGTGTCAATCATTTTTTTTTTTTTTAAGTCTGTTAATCTTCTGTATCAGATTAACTCTGTAGATGCTTCCATTACAGTTTGCAGGTCAGATGAAAAGTCTCTTTCCAACAGCCAATGTCCAGTTGTCTAAAGGAATGTTTTCCTTATTTATTGCAACAAGGATCTGTCACGCTTTACCTACATTAAAACAAAAAACACATGCAGCATTGATACAATGGCTTACAAGTAGAGTTGAGCGGACACCTGGATGTTCGGGTCCGGCGAGTTCGGCCGAACTTTGAAAAAAAGTCGGGGTTTGTGATTGAACTTGACCCCGAACCCCATTGAAGTCAATGGGGACCCGAACTTTTGGCCACAAAAATGCCTCTAAAAAATCCTGAAAAGGGCTAGAGGGCTGCAAAAGGAAGTAAAATGGGGGTAAAAGTAGGACAAGTGCCCTGCAAACAAATGTGGATAGGGAAATCACTTAAAATAACATAAAAATTAAAAATGCAACTGAGCCATAAAATAGCACTAGATGGAATCTTTGATTTTAGCTTTGGAAGAACATAAATCAAAATCTAAAGCATGGCTGTCAGGAGGATCACCAGAATTATACATTTGAGAGAGGGTTGGAGTGCAGGGTATTCTCTTTCATTGTTCAAACTGAGCTCAACTCCTGATGTATGGAGAAAAGGCCTTCACAAGCCTCTGCTATTGTGTACATAGTTTATACTAAGTGACCCATAGGTTGAGGAGGCGGTGACCGTGGCAGTGTAGGTGGAAGCGGCAGTGGAGGAGGAGGAGGTAGCCAACACTGTTTATATATATATATATTTTTTTATTTTAATTGGGGTAGCCCCCAAAATATTGGTACATATAAAAAAAGAAAACTGTTCCGCAGAGCGACTGACCCGTGCATGCTGCATCTGAAACTCCACTATCGCCTGCTGCTGCTCGCACAGTCTCATGAGGTGGTGAGCGGGAAGGCCGGAGTTACGCTGCAGCGCAGACAGGCGAGCAGCAGCAGAGTGAGAACGCCGAAAGCGCGCACAGACGGCCCGCACTTTCTGCAGCAGCTCTGATATATCTGGGTATGCACAGTGGCATCACAAGGGCCGCCTAGAACTGGCTCAACTCCCATCAAGCCAAGTTCCTGGGGGAGATCACCCAGCTCGTCATGCTAGAGCACTTTTCCAATCAGCTCCCCAACGCGAAGGCGACAACGCATTCGTATGTCAATCCATATCAACTTTCAATGCCATTGACTGCGCCTACCATGGTGACCACGGGTAACTGGGAATCAGTGTTCGATTCCGTACAGGGACCCTGACAAATGCCTACCACATGCAAGGAAGGCAGCAGGCGCGCAAATGACCCACACCCGACACGGAAAGGTAGTGACAACAAATAACAATGCAGGACTCTTTAGAGGCCCTGTAATTGTATTGAGTCCACTTGAAATACTTTAACTCTGATCAATTGGAGGGAAGTATGGTGCAGAGCCACTGACCCGTGCGTGCTGCAGCTGAAACTCCACTATCACCTGCTACTGCTCAAACAGTCTCTCGAGCATGTGTAAGGTGGAGTTCTACCTTGTGGGCACGTCGCATATGAGGCAGTGAGCGGGAAGGCCGAAGTTACGCTGCAGCGCATACAGGCGAGCAGAAGCAGGGTGAGAACGCCGAAAGTGCGCACAGCCGCTACAGTGAATGTCACATCCTATTCCAAGTTGCGGATCAGTTTGGTGATGGCTTCTGGTATCCAGTACTCTTTTTACTGAAGCTGCATCAGGGTCTTGGTATATGGCCGCACAAACGCTGGTGCTTAACACCAGGGGGTGTGCAGATACCCTGCACCAAACCCTGCTAATCCATTCCACACTGTAACTCCTAACTTCTACATCAGGCATAATGGGTCCCGGTCGTCCGACCGCCGCCCAGACAGTGTCTGGGTCCAGGTCACCAGATTGCGAAACTGCGAATGGCTCGTTAAATCTGTTATGGTTCTTTTTATCGCTTGAACTGTTACTTGGATAACTGTGGGAATTCTAAAGATAATACATGCCGATGAGCGCTAGGGGACGGCCGCTCCGCTTTTGCACCCTGCTCCCTCTTATGCTGTGCTGGTGCCTCTGTGCGACCAGCGCCTCTTCCTCCAAACTGCACACGTCACTCGCCCTTGATTCCATGTGGGGTCTAGGACCTCTTCATCCTCCACATCATCTTCCATCCACTCCTCAACCCTGCCCTCCTTGCGGTATGCACACTGCAGAAAGCCACAGCAGTTGGCACCTGTGTTTTTCCAGCATGCAAAGTCTGCAAAGGACATATGGAAATTGTTTTAGAATTTTTTCCACGCAACAGTTTTCCCTATAAACTGACCTCTCAGTTTGACTTATGAGGGTATTGCCCCAGAATTACATTATTGTTTAAGTACCTCTTAGCTATTGATAACTGGTTTAAATATAGCAGCTTGTTATCTGGTAGTTTCTAGTGTAGAAAATACCAACCTGTTTTCTACCACTTAGATCTGTGTAACAAGTGTAGGTGTGAAACAATATGACCGATGTAGTAAATTTTATGTAGTAAAGTTACGCTTCGATTTGACTCTCAGGTATGAAGAGCACGCCCAAATGTACTATTTAGCAGATTAGCACCCAGAAAATTATAATTTTTACAAGTGCGCTGTAAGCCCACTATTAGATGCTTCGATTTGACTCTCAGATATGAAGAGCAGGCCCCAAAATGTACTATTTAGCAGATTAGCACCCAGAAAATTAGAATTTTTACAAGTGCACTATAAGCGCACTATTAGACGCTTCGATTTTACTCTCTGATATGAAGAGCAGGCCCCAAAATGTACTATTTAGCAGATTAGCAGCAAAACAATTAGAATGTTTACAACTGTTAGACGCTTCGATTTGACTCTCAGATATCAAGAGTAGGCCCCAAAATGTACTATTTAGCAGATTAGCACCCAGAAAATAAGAATTTTTACAAGTGCGCTGTAAGCGCACTATTAGACGCTTCGATTTGACTCTCAGATATGAAGTGCACCCTACTAAAATACTATTTACCAGTTTAGCACCTAAAAAATGTTAAGTTTTAAAACTGCAATGTGACAGCAGTATTTGACGCTTCTATTTGACTCTCAGATATGAAGTGCACCCCCACTAATGTACTATTTAGCACCAAAAAAAATCGACTTTTTAAAACTCTGATGTAACCGCGGTATTTGACGCTTTTATTTGACTCTCAGATATAAAATGCACCCCACTAATGTACTAGCTTGCAGAATTCTTTCCTAAGCTGTCCCTCACAGTGGCAGCATCCTCTCCCTACACTAATAAGACCTCATGTGCGTGCGGCGCTACGCGACTCCAGCTTATATATAGAGGCTGGGTCACATGCTGCACTGGTCAACCACAGCCATGCCATTAGTAGGCATGGCTGTGATGGCTTCTAAGGGCACATGAGTCAAACGCTTGTTGATTGGCTGCCCTGCAGCCTTTGAAAATGCGCCATTAAATCGCCGAACACCGACCTCCAACCCGAACATACAGTGATATGTCCGTGTTCAGGTCCAGGGTCCAAAAAATGTAAGGTTTGGTACGAACCCGAACTGTAAAGTAGAGCTCAACTCTACTTACAAGGTTTATATATCAATGTTATTAGTAAACAGTTTAACATTGCATTTCATGGACTCCAAAACATTCTCATATCCTATAATGAAATCTACCATCTTGTGGGCATTACATGTATGCCATGTGATGTTGTATAAGCTTCAAGCTTCCTTCCTATCAGAATATCTTTCTGAACATTTCAATTTTAAAAATGTTTTACTAACCATACCCCCTTTTAAACTGTTTAATAATGTGTATAACCTAATCATATGTCAGATGTTACAGACAGACAACATTGTTTCATACTATACTTTAGCAATAGTAGCCATCTTGTCTTAATACTGGCACCATTTTGTCACATGAAACAAACTAAAAAATACAAATATTGTTTCCTATATCAAATATATTTGCAAATCTAAGTTTCATCCTATCAAAACCTTTGTCTTCTATGTAGTCAAAACATATGTATGTCCAGGCTTTGCAATATATAGTAATTCATTATCAGTGATGATATTAAAAGCTCATTCTCATGAATTAAATCAAAGATTTTAAATCAACCCAAGAAGTAACAAGGAATACATTTTGTTTTCCCCTCTGTAAAATGATTGGAGTTACTCTATATTTGCTCACACCCAATATAACATACATTGCTTGTTCCTTACAACTGCCACATTAGTGTATTTCATCATGCCACACTTGCAACCTTGATGTACATATTTATTTTAATTAATTAACCTAATACTTTCCTATAACACACATAAAAACAATGAAAAAACAGTACAGACTAATAATTCAGTAAAACAACAAACTAGCATAGATTCGACCTATTCTTGTGTTATTTTTAACTCTGCACATCATATCCATGCTCATTCTCTAAACTGATCATGTATTGTAAAGTTCTCTGATTCTTATAACCCTCTGTGTTACACTGCATTCCTTGTTTGTCTCCTAATTTCGATTTAGCTCAAATTTCTCTTATTTGTTTACAAGGAAAGGCCTTCATTGATTTATCACTTCATGTATTTCCTCTATGCAATTTTTCAATCAACAAATTCAATTTCTCATTTGCTTTTGATTTGATATCTCGGATACATATCCGTAGAACCTTAAATAATGTTGTTTATTGCACCAAAAACAAATAACTTTATGAGTTATATTCTGCCTTTGATTGTTAATTCTGCAGTTTTAGTTAAGAAAATTGGGATGGGTTTAGCTGTCTGTGTCACTCTTTTACAAGAAGGAGGAGGAGGACCTGGGCTTCTTTCTCTTCCTAATTTCACAAGCCATTTTAACCCCTTAATGTCTGAACTCCCTTCTTAATTTATCTAACAAAGCAACTTCTCTCAGTTATTTTTTCTTTAGCAATTACAATTGCAGTTGGATCTAGATTTTTTCACAAATTCATTAATGAACTGATCTTAAAGGGACACTATAGTCACCTGAACAAGTGTAGCTTAATGAAGCCGTTTTGGTGTATAGAACATGCTCCTGCAGCCTCACTGCTCAATCCTCTGCCATTTAAGAGTTAAATCCCTTTGTTCATGAACCCTAGTCACACCTCCCTGCATGTGACTTGCACAGCCTTCCATAAACACTTCCTGTAAAGAGAGCCCTATTTAGGCTTTCTTTATTGCAAGTTCTGTTTAATTAAGATTTTCTTATCCCCTATGTTAATAGCTTGCTAGACCCTGCAAGAGCCTCCTGTATGTGATTAAAGTTCAATTTAGAGATTGAGATACAATTATTTAAGGTAAAGTACATCTGTTTGAAAGTGAAACCAGTTTTTTTTCCATGCAGGCTCTGTCAGTCATAGCAAGGGGAGGTGTGGCTAGGGCTGCATAAACAGAAACAAAGTGATTTAACTCCTAAATGACAGTGAATTGAGCAGTGAAATTGCAGGGGAATGATCTATACACTAAAACTGCTTTATTTATCTAAAGTAATTTAGTTGACTATACTGTTCCTTTAAGGAAAATTAGTAACAGGTCTACATGCACTTTCAACTTTTACAAGAAAATTAAAAATATCCTCATCATTGTTTGTTTTCAGTTTTTCCAACATTTCAGTGTCTGCAAAATCATTCCCTGTTAATTGTATTAATTGTGTTAATCTGCCTTGCTTATTTCCATATATTATTCATCATTGTCCTCAAATCTTAGAGGAGTGGTCAGTCTACTTGCCATTTAAGTCGGCAGCCATATTTGAAATAGTCTATTCCTTTGTTTGTCATTAAGGCTATATGTGTCCAAAATTGATTCAAACATTTCAGCATTAGTAAATGCATCCACTGACGTGTCATAAATTGGAATACATTTCGCAATTGTCATTTATTTTTCTTGGACTTTCAATTTAAGTTTTGCAACTCTGTCCTGGAATTTACATTTCTGCATATCACTCTGTGAGGATACGTTCTCAGTATCTATTGGTTCTGGGATTATATTCTGTGCCTGCAATTTTATGTGTTCACACACACACTTGCTTTACTTCATTTCTAAGCTGGCAAATAAGATCATTTCTTAGTTTAACTCGATCCTCTAATTCACAGACTGTTTGCATGTACTCTCTGTTACATTGTTACACTTTTCATTTAAATCTGATGTCTTCTGTTAACCCATTAAAATCTACTTATTTTTCTGCTGATTCTAAATTTTCTTGACCTGCATCTCGTTTACAAATCAATGCATTGTAAGTACAGACTAGTTTTATAACATTTCTGATCTTCCGTTTTCTCTTATTAACGTACAATTTCTTGTCAATTTCACTATTGGTAATTTCACAT